CTACTCTATTTTCAGTTCCCTTTTTATACTGTATCTCATAGTCCAACCCTAGTAACTTGGTCAGATTTTTCTGCTGCAATGCTGTTGTCACTCTTTGCTCCAGCAAATACTTCAGACTGTGATGATCAGTTCTGATAATAAAATGGCTCTGTTGTAATTAGTGTCTCCACCTATCAACAGCAGATAGTACAACCATATACTCCTTCTCATAAGTAGATATCCCATATGTCTAGGAGCCAGTGCTTTGCTAAAGAAGGCAATGGGTTTTCCTTCCTGCATCAATACGACCCATACCCTTATCAAAAACATCAGTCTCAATGATGAAAGGCTTAGTGAAGTCTGCTAACACCAGTACAGGAGCTATTGTCATGGCTTTCTTAAGCTGAAAGAATGCCTGTTCAGCTTCTTGATTCTATTGGAAGGCATTTTTCCTCAGCAGATTTGTTAGAGGCTTGATAATGACTCTATATGATTTGACAAATCTTTTATAGTATCCTGTCAGTCCTAGGATACCCCTTAGGGATTTACTTATTTGGGTATAGGCCAATTGGACATAGCCTCATTTTTGGAAGGATCAATTGATACCCCTTTGCCAGTTATGATGTGTCACATATAGTCTGTTTTATGTTGGCCAAAGGAACATTTGGACAGCTTAGAAAAGAGTTGTTCTGCTCTTAATGTTTCCAACACTTTTCTGAGATGAGTGACATGAGATGCCGTAGAGGGGCTGTAGACTAGTATGTCATCAAAAAATACTAGGAAAAACTTCCTCAAATAAGGTTTGAACACATGATTCATTGAGGACTGGAAAGTGGCAGGGTGCAGTGGTCAAGCCAAAGGGAACGACTCAAAACTCTTAGTGTCCCAAGTGAGTTCTAAATGCTGTTTTGCAGATATCATCCTCCCCCATTCTAATTTGATGATAGCCTACCCTTAAGTCAATCTTAGAATATACACTTGACCTACACAGTTCATCCATTAGGTCATCTATTAGAGGAATTGGAAATTTTTCTTTGATGGTCATGTTATTTAGTTCCCTATAGTCAATAAAAAAATCTCCAACTTCTATCTTCTTAACTAGTAGGACAGAGGAAGAGAAAGAGGAATGACTGGGTTGTATTAGGCCATTATGTAATATTTCATTAACCTGCTTCTCTATCCCATTTTTTTGGAAAAATTATACCTGTATGGTCTTATGCTAACTGGGTTTGCATATGATTTCAGGGGAATGTGGTGATCATGATTCCTCCTAGGAGGTAGGGATGTAGGCTCAGCAAATACATCAGAAAATTACTGGATGACTGTGCTAATATCTGCAGGTATATCTCCTTCTTTTTGTTCTTCTGGAGCTGAAATAACAAACAAGTGAGCCCATACTGTCTTCCCTTTCTTCAGTAACTGTTTCACCCTATATGCAAACATACTTTTTAGCTCCCCATGACTGTAGATGCCTTTCAATTCCATCGTTTTTCCTTTTTGAGTCACTTCAACCTTGTATTCTATAGAATCTAGAAGTACAGGATTGTGTCTTTTCGTCCAATCACCTCTCAGAATTATTTTTTCCCCTCTTAATCTGATCAATCTCACTGAATCTTCAAACTCTACTCCTTGAATTATCCATTTGAATATGGAGCGTGTGTGATGACTCATCACATGATTCTCATTGGCTACAGTAACCCTCATAGGTGAGGTCTCCTTAATTACTCACCCCATCTTCTTGGTAGTCTCTATATCTAAAAACTATGGGTACTGCCTGAGTCTAACAAGATAGACGTGTTGTTCTTCTTGGATTCACCTCTCAATTTAATGGTATTAGGGACTTTAGTACCTGATAAGGCATTTAGGATGATTTCCTCATCAACTACTACTTCTTCCTGTAAGTCTAGGGCTGTTTCTTCAATCCCTGCTTCTCCTGGCTCGACTATTTCTTCAATCCCTACTTCCCCTAGCTCTTCTGCATTTGGAACAGTGGTTGCAGAGATGGCATTCAACTGTCTTTGTTTGCATTGGTGCTCTGCTTGATATTTATACCCACACTTGTAGCAAAGTCCTTGGGCTCTCCTGCTTTCAAACAGTACCCTGATTACTTAGTGAATTATTAGGAACCCTAGTGGTCTGAGAAGAGTAACTTGTAGCTGAGCCCTTATTCCTCTGTAATCTTTCCTTCTTATTCAAGGATTCCAACAGATTCTCATGATGCCTAGCCTTCTCCACAGCTTTACTGAAGAAATATGGGTCTAACATTTTTATTGAATGCCTAATTTCTTCCTTCAGTCCTTCAGTGAAAAACTCTAAGAAGAATTCTTCTGGTATTGTAGGATTCCTGATCAACACCCAAGCCTTCAAGTCTTCAAATTCTTCCAAGTATTCATTAACAATTCCCTTTTATTCTATGTTTTTAAATTCACCAATGAGGTTCAATTTACTGTTAGCTGCACCTTCAAATCTATTACAGATTTTTGTAGTAAAATCTGCCCACTAACTATGGCTTTACTAACATGGTAGGAGAAGAACCAAGATTTAGCCTTACCATTAAGGTGAAGAACAACTTCTTCCAGTTTCAGCTGTGGATCTGTGATGTGATTGTAGTGAAAGTACATCTCACGTTTGCGGAACCAGGCATATGGATATACTCATACAAAATATGGAATTTCCCACCTCGAATGAGAGAGATTCTCTTGTGATCGACCCAAAGAAGATTCATCATTTCCCCCAGCTCGTGGTAGATTACCAGACCCCATAATTTGCAGACCTTCAATCGATGCACTTCCCAAAATTCCTCATTGCGGGGAAATGATCTTCACCATTAGCTTGTAAATTCTTTTAACCTAAATCTTCAATTCTCGAATCATTTGACAACATGTAGCTCTATAATTGTGCTTCTAACTTTTTAACTGAATCGTCATTAGATTTAGACTTTGTTTCTGCCCCTGTCATCGTGAATTTGGCCAGGAAATTGCTTTGTTACCAATTGTAATGGACTTGCCAAATTGAAATGTAAAATATGGAATTGTTCAAGAAATGAACGAACAAAGCTTTTTTATTTATCTCATCAACTCAAATACAATGGAAATTACAAATTGTACTGAATTAATCTGCAAGCTCCATTGATGAATTCAACTTCAAAAGAATTAAGAGGATAAGAGAAGAGAAGAATAAGAGAAGAGAAGGGAGTGATGTGAGAGAGAATTGAGAAGGAAGAAATAATACCGATCAAAAACTGATTCTGTCGGACCCCGTCTAACTTCTGCACCGTTGGATCTAAAGCATCTAGGCTGTTGATCTCTTATTAACTATCATCTCCCGCTGCCACGTGTCTCCTTGTATCTACTCTTATTTACCCTAATTCTTCGCATTTCTTTTGTCTTCAGACAGCCGTCCCCAAACCTAACAATATAGTTACCTGAATTTTTTTAAGAAGAATACGCACGTGCTCATTTGCTTGGCATCAAAAACTTGCTTTACAATCAAAGTGATTTCATTAGCCATAAAGAAAGACCTCAATATATTTTGGGATCAGCCCCTAAATTTAAACCTAAACAGTCGCCCACTCAATCGGTTAAATAAAAATAGCCAGCGAATATAGTATTATATTTATATAATTTATGTATAACTAGTACATAATTTATGTACATTGACTAAAAAAGATAGATAGCAAATTTGATCGGTGATTTGTGTAAGTTAATATATGAGAGGAGCATTAATGATTAATATTCAATTTAGAAGAGCTCGAAAAAGTAAAAAGACTAAAACATGATTGGGCAAAATATATCCCATCTACAGGGCATATGTCCACCGAGAGTTGCCCCATTAATTGTTGATCACCCGTTAAGAGCTTTAATCACAAAGGACGATTCTCAAGGTTGCTTGTAGTAAACATTGTTTTTCCATAAATAACCCAAAATGAAGTTAAACCTGTATTTCACTATTAACTGCATTATTATGATTAACATAGATCATATACCTTGTAAGTTATAAATTATAAGTTCGTAGTACTTAAAAACTATTTAGAAGAATACTTGTAAATTCATTTATCATATTATTTTATTTGTATTTCAATACATTCAAAACACAAATTCCAGTAAATTTTTTATTTTAATTCCCAGAGTTTGTGCACTTGGGAGGACTTGTTCAAATTTGTCGGTATTCCAAAACCCAAATCACACTTCAGATTTTGCAATATCGTTTTCTTCGTAATACAAAAGGCAAAACACCTGATCTTATGGTAATTGAGATTAAAGACAACTTAATATTCTATGAAATAAGTTATGCTTAATGCCATGTATCTGAAAAAAGTATCTACTCTTACTCTCTTTACTCCAGAGTTATAAAGAAATGTATCTCTAGGAAATCTTCAAATAATACCTCACCTTTCACATAAAAATGAATGTTAGTACTACTTCTAGTGTATTCACTTCGCGGACTTCTCAGCTAAATTTTAGATTAACTTTTTGGTAATTGGTAAGGTCAATAATTTGTGGTAATATTAACTTCTAAATTTTTTCATATTGTTTAAATTGCACGTTAAAGGAGACAAGAATCTATTAAACGTATTTGAGGGTCCAAAGAAATTCCTTAAATTTCAAGTACTAGTAAGGACAAGAACGAAGAACTTGAAGATCGAGGTCAAAAGATTCAAAGTTATTTAAATTTCTTTGTCTTCTTTTGTTTTTTATTGTCTCCTGTCAAATCACACGGTTATATCCGTAAGACCCTAAGTGAAGTTCAAGTTCAACATTCCTTCCCTAGGAATTCCCGTTTCTCTTTCAAAACTACAATATATTATTACTAGTGGTAAACTCCAAAATTCTATATTCACACAACTTCCTTAAAAAAGAAAAATGGAAAAGTAGCCCATTTTGTAAACCTAGAAACCTATATAACTAGCAGAAGGAAACACAAATTTAGTAAAACATAACAAAACAGCCAAAAGAAAAAAAAAAAAACCTAATTAGGGTTAATTTCAAAATTCAGAAGTGTTCAAAAATAAGAAAAAAAAAATGCAGCGTGCACTAGTTGGGAACTTATTGCAACGCCAGGTTCAAATCAGCAGAAACCAAATCACCAAAAAAGTGATTAGATCACAATTACCATGCGATGTTTTTATCAACCACAGAGGAAACGACACAAAGAGAACGATAGCTTCATTACTATATGATCATCTTACACGTTTAAGGATTGGATCATTTTTAGACAACAAGAACATGAAGCCAGGTGATAAATTGTTTGAGAAAATTGACAGTGCCATAAAAGAATGCAAAGTTGGAGTTGCTGTGTTTTCTCCACGTTATTGTGATTCTTACTTTTGCCTTCACGAATTGGCTCTCTTTGTCGAATCAAAGAAGAAGGTGATTCCCATATTTTGTGACGTTAAGCCTTCTCAGCTTCGTGCTGAGAACAAGCCAAATCTTCCACTTCGACCCGAAGAAATTGTGAGATTTAATTTAGAGTAAGCATAGAAATCCAATCACTAGGATTATTAACTAATAAGGATTGTGAGTATTGAAAAAAAGTTCTGAATCTGGGGGAACACTTCACTATATATTAATATGTTGGAACCCCCTTTATATTATTAAAATAATATAATAATATAATTTTTAATAAAGGGTCGGTCTTCTCCTATGTCGTGTCAAATTCGCATCGAAAAAAAGAGATTTGTCCTCTCCTATAAAGAAATCAAAAAATAATTGTTTCGTAAAATCTCGTCTAATACTAATATCTAATCACTAACAATCTAAAATCTAATAAAANATATATATATATATATATATATATATATATATATATATATATATATTGGTAGTGTCTAGATTTTTTACGCTATTAATATATTATAACTTGCATGTCGTAGTTACATGTTAGGTATATTTTTACTAGGCTACCAACTAATGCTATGATAGTAATCATGATCTACGTACTACTACTAGCGATTACCTGATAAGTGGCATTATTGTTAATACCGTGAACCCACATATATAACTTAAAGTCTTAAATTTTATACCATGCTAATAAGGTGTGTATATAGGTTTAAACTATTTTACGAAATATATTAATCACTTAAGGAGAGTTAAGTATGTATCTTGGTGTCTTGTATACATATTATGTACGTAGTAATTAATTTCTTTTCATCTGCCTCTTACATTTGGACCATTTAACTTGTTTGTAGGAATTGGTCGGATGTAGTGACAAAAGCTGCTGATGTTGTCATTGAGAGCTTGATAGAGATTGAGGACGAGCAAACCAGAAATCAAACTACTCATATAGTTTTCTGATCGATGTCTTAATTTCGTGATACAATGACAATAAAGATCATGACTATACCATAACCTTACCATGTCCACACACGAAAAAAAAAAAAAGGAAGAACAAAAAAAACTAACTTGTAATTCTGGTTTTGAATAAGTAATCAATTTCGTGTTCTAGCAATGAATTTTAGTGATTTACTCACCCTTGTTATTTGTAGTATAATTAACAAGCAGAGATATTTTTGGTGTAACATGTCTAGCATATGTAGTATAGTTTCCGTTGGCATTATGTGACAGGGAGGCTGAATTAACTTTGTGATAATTTATTTATTGTTATCAAGTTTGTTCAAGTGTAAAGTTCATCCAATAAAATTCCTTTAATGTTTTCCTTGTTTCTTTACGTCATTTTCCTCTTTCTTGTATTAGTTCAAGATACGATTTTATTTTCTGCATTTGTAAAACAACCTCCTATACTCTCTATTTTCCCCTATTACGTGGACTAATGAAAAGGTTATTTTAGGTTACATTATCAAAATATTTTTTGGAATTTTTTCCCCTTAAATAAATGATTTTTTAACGTAAAATATGGTTACAAATAGATTTGGAAACCAAATCCAGAAGGTCGTTTGTTTTCAGAAATAATCCAAACCCAAGAAATCAGAAAAAACGTTTCTAGCCCAAAAGCAACTCCTAGCCCATGGCAAGTTTGGTTTACAATACGACCTTATTTTTTGAATTTTAGGTTCTCGCGCTTTTATTGGAAAAAAGGCCAGATTTTCCCTATATACTTTGCTAAATAGTGTACATTAGTTAGAGCTGTTAAAATGGGCCAGCCCAACCCGACCTAGCCCAAGCCTCGTGGGCTTTTAAATTTGGTGGGCTAGGTCGAGCCGTCCTGCCACTTAAATGGGCCTTAAAATAGCCAGCCCAACTCAGCCCTAATAGGGCTGCGGGCTAGGGCACCGACCCTTCAATTTTTTTTAGAATTTTTTTTCTTCAAATCTTTAAATATTTCTTCGTGACATAGTCTCTTAATCATATGAACGACAGTTTAGAGCATACAAGAATCTCGATATTTAACAAGGAATCTGGTAATTGAAATGTAAATTTTCTATATCTTTAGCTCTTCTTTATTAACGTTACTTGAATTTTTTTTAATACTTTTCTTTCACCTTACTCAGGTTCAGGAATTGCTTCAATAAGTTTATATGTTGAGGTTCTTTAATTTAGGTTTAACATCATTTGCTGATTTCATCATTATAGTCCCATAAAACTTTTAAAATTCATGAAATTTGTTAGTGTTGTCAATTTTCTTTGGGTATTAAAACTTGACCTTTTTCTATACTGAAGAGCAATTTAATTATTAGTAATATATTAAAGTAACCGATTTGATCATTGGCCACTTAAAGTAATATTTTCTTTTGAAAAAAAAAAATTATTGGACACTTAAATCTTTCCTAGTTCGTTGATAATTAAACGAAAAAAAACTATTCTTGTCATACTACATGCATATCAAAAATCTGAATTCTAGTTGTATGGAAGGGTAAATGAGCAATCTAAGTTTGGGGATTATAGTTAGCAGGTATTTTAGTTCTTACTTCTGTAAATATTAAATAAACTTAAAAATTAATTTTTAGCCCACAGGCTGGCCCTGCAGCCCAACCTCGATCAAGCTTCAAGGGCCAGCAGGCTGACTTGGACCAGACTTATAAGCCTCAGATTTAAAAACGTTAAAATTCCAATCTAACCCTACCCAAATAGCATGCTGGGTTAGACTGGCTAGTGAGGCCAAGCCTATTTGTACGGCTCTACATTCTGTTATACTTTTCATCTAAATACTCCCCTACCCTTATCAAAATAAACAAAAATGCCATGTCCTAATGACTGTCCACTGTGACACTCCAGACCCTCAAAATTATACGTTTGTTATTTTCTTATTGGATATTATGTAACTAAGTACTCTTAATTTTGAGACAATTTCCACTTGTGGGTCCCACTTCCCCTTTAACTTTCTTTCCATCCTCCATTTTTTTCTTGTTTCACCTGCACATCTCCTCCCTCGACACACCCGATACTCTTTATTTTCTTTACACTATGGTTCCTTGTGTTATATATAATTCTAGGTACTAACGCTTTCTTGATTTATTAGTTTATTTTTCAATCCCATTATGAATGACACAATTGAGAAATAGATGAAAGCTTCACTAATTGAAGTACGTGTTTTAGCTTCAATTTATTTTGTTTGTTGTTTTATCGGCCCAAAATTCCTCCGAAGGAGTCGTGATGGCACCTAATCTTTAAAACTAGGTAAACCTAACACATACTGAATGATAATGAATTCTACTAGAAGCTATTGAGCATGAACCAGAAACTTCTAAATAAACCAATAGTCTCAACATGATATAAGCCTTTCTAGAAGTAATTATACATGACGAATACATCACTGTTCCAGATTAATAGGAAACAATGGAAATAAATATAACAGAAGGTGACTTAGGGGCCTGCGAACGTCCGACAGGTATACCTTGAAGTCTCTAGCCGCACTGGCATAAGTCTCAAAACCAACTCTGTCACGACCCGGAATTCTCACCATCGAGACCGTGATGGCGCCTAAAATCACACTTGCTAGGCAAGCCTACGTTAGAGTATTACCAAACAATTTCCTTTACGATTCAATGAATAAAAGTGAACAAGTTAAAAACAAGTGATCATAATTGCGGAAGTAAGTAAATAACCTCTTCATATATAAATACTATAGCCAATATTGTCACTATTACTACCCAGAATCCGGTGTCACAACTCACGAACATACTAGAATTTTCTGCAAACATTGGTCTGAAGGAAATTACAACTGTTTTGAAACGAAAGAAAACATAAATGCAGAAATGTAGAAGGGGACGCCAGGGCCGGCGGACGCCTGCAGGACTACCTTGGGTCTCTAAACTGAGTAACCAGAAGCCAATCTCTCAATCAGCCACTACCGGCTCCGAAATATGCACAGAAAGTGCAGAGTGCAGTATCAGTACAACCAACCCCATGTACTGATAAGTGTCGAGCCTAACCTCGACGAGGTGGTGACGAGGCTACGGCGGGGCAATTACAATATAACCTGTATATAATATGTAATAAAGCGGAAAGAAGTAATGAAACAGTAACTTGCAAGGACGAATACAGAACTCAAGTATCTTGTCAGTACCCAGCTATAATGTCACGACCCCAGTTCGCCCTCCTTGAACTGTCGTGACAGCACCTAGTCACTATGACTAGGTAAGCCTAACAAGTGTGGAAAAACAATAGAACCCTTGCGGAAATTATAACTTAAACCAAGATTTGAAAAAAAAAAAGAAACGAAATGCAAGGATGCCACTCGGCACATACAACACAATATCTCAACTTCTACAAATACTATCCCAAAACCCGGAAACTCACGGGAACACAAGCTAAAAGGAATACAGTAAAGTGCTCTAATCTCCAGAAATGTCTTACATCAATAGTACGATAGAAGGGTTAACACTACAGATAGAGTAAAGAAGGAGACTCTTCGATCTGCGGACGCGGCAGATGTACCTCGAAGTCTCCGAAATGCTCCCTGCCTCAAGGATGATACGCCTGAGTAGAGGTACCTGGATCTGCACATGAAAAACATGCGCAGAAAGGGCATGAGTACACCACATCGGTACTCAGTAGGAGCCTAGCCTAACCGAGGTTGGGTAGTGACGAGGAAGGTCAGGGCCCTACTGAGGTTAAATAAGATACAAGTTTAATAGTGTGAAATGACAGTGTAATTAAATAACACATGATATAAAGGACAAAAATAACTATTACAAAGGCAAGCAAAACACAGTAAAAGAACATAACTCAGCTCCGAGATAACAACTGAGGGTCTCCCAGGATACCGTCCTGTAGTCCCCAAATATAAATACCATGTCCAGTGGATCTCCCGGGTGCAGTCCCGTAGTCCAACTCATAAAGTGCAGAGGGATCTCCCGTAATGCAATTCCGTAGTCCCAAAGTAAACATACAGGGGAGCTCCCGGGATACCGTCCCGTAGTCCCAAAATAAAGTGCAGGGGGATCTCCCGGAATATCATTCCGTAGTCCCAAAGTAAATACGCAGCAACAACAGAACTCAATCCAATCAATTTCACATCAAAGTGAAGCAGGTAATCCTAACCTAGCATGGTTCACGTAGTACAATTAAGGCAGTTAAGACAGATAAAGCAATTTAGTCAAGTAGACATGCTTCTCTAAGCTACATCAGATTTAAATATCCAAACAGTGTAAGCAAGGAAAGGAGGAACACAATTCAAGGCTATTTTTAAAGAAAAACCGAATTTCCAACAATTAGCACAAGTGCGCGCTCGTCACCTCACGCACGAGGCATTTCAATTACCACAATATCAATCCTAAGGGGAAAAGTCCCCCATACAAGGTTAGACAAGCCACTTACCTCGAACCGGCTCCAAAATCAACTCAAAACCACACGTTTGCCACGAGTATCCAACTCCAAATGGCCCAAATCTATTCAATTCAATTACATATCGTAAATAACATCTCAAACAACTGATTCTACGATTTAATTCAAAGCGAAGACGCGAAATTCGGTAAAATGACCAAAACGCCCCTCAGGCCAACATCTCGGTATCGGGTGAAATTAACATTTTCAGAACTCTCGTACTCTTACGAGTCTAACCATATAAAAATCTCCCAAATTGGATGTCAAAAATCCACTCAAAGCTCAATAATTCGGTCTATGAAGTTTTATCAATTTTTCATTCAAAATCCGAAATTAAAGGAGGAATTCACGCTTAGATTAGTGGGTTACAAGCAAAAAGGAGTTTAGAATCGTTACCCAATCAATGTCTCTGAAAAACCCTCGAAATCTCGCTCAAATCCGAGCTCTCAAGCTTGAGTTTTGGTAAAAATGGCTAAACCCTCGTTTTTGAAATGTTATATCTGCCCAGGTACTTAATACATCGCGAACGCGGAGAAAGTCTCACGTTCGCGAAGAAGAAAAGGCTGCTAAAA